GTTGTTGTTGTTGTTGCAGTGTGCTGCAGTTGTTTGCTGGCAACGTCGATTTGTCCCCGTCGGGAGTTGCGTGCCGATTGCCCGCCAGCATATTTGTCATTCCTAGTTGCAAGCTGTGCATTTGCCACTTCTCTTCCGCAGTTGCAGCAACTGCTGCTCCGATTGCCTTAAAGGTTATGTCGCCTGTCGAGCGACACCCAAACACGACGACGGCGATGCCAACGATGTGGCATGCAACACATACTACAACTACACTGCAAGACGAGCTATCGTGCCTTTATTTCGATTATTTTGGAAAGGGGAATTTATAATAACAAAATCTGTTATTGGCATTACTTAATGGGAAGAGTTTCAAAATGGGAATTCGTCAGAAATGTAGAAAGAAGTAAACAAAACATAGTTGCTCGAAATTTAATAAGAAATGAAATTACTGCTTCTACGAAAGAATAGATGAATACTTAGAAGTGGACCTATGACTACAAATTACTGCTTGAAATTTATTTGGAAGTAGAATGGAAACATTAGTAATATTATATTTAATGGAAATATACGGCCGTTGAGCATTTTGTAATGGAAATTGATAAGGGATTTTGGAAGTCAAATCACTGCTGCTGGGCCTTTATAAGTTATAAGAGTACGGATTTATATATAAATTCATTCATAAGTAAAGTTAGTGCCGTTGAGAATGGTTGTCCGAATTTCGGTGTGGGCATTCAAAATGGAAAATGATCAGGTATGTATAGTTAACTGACTGATTGGAATTATTTTTGTAGTAGAGATTTCCTTTTTGAAATATTGGTTGTGTGTAAAGGATGTATTATTGAAAGTAGTGACGGGGAATCTAGAAATGAGAATATATAGGGCACTATATATAGGTACTTCAAAGTGGGAAGCCTTCAAGAGAATATATTTTGGCTTCAAGTGATAATTGTTTGGATTTATAGAGGAAGAGTTTATCGTGATGTAAAATCTTATAATTCAAACTTCAGTTAAATTACTTACAGAAGGAAAGACTCTCTTGTATGTTACATATACCCATTTGGAATATGAAGCGGTATCCTAGTTAAGCAGTAGCCCCTGAGATCGAATGACGGCCAAAGCTTTGCAGCAGATAAGATCTGTATTGCAACTTACTGCACTGCACGAAGAAGGCACCGGTGTTGCAACAGTTGCAGTATCAGTTACAGAGGCAGCTGCAATAAAATGCTAATGAATAAAGGCTCTATGAGATGATTACAGCTGAAATAAAATCAGTTAAGCGCTCAAGAACTGCTGTTAGTGGACTATACAAACTTTTTGCAGTGTAAAAGGGGAAATTATAGCGACAACATTTTGTGGCATGTCACAAACGCACCTTGGGACAGTCGACAGCGACAGTCAGACAGACGGACAAGCACTGAGAGAGTAAATGCAGCACAGGAAATGTAACGTGTTCCCACTCTGAAAGTCTGTCCGCCAGTCGGCCGCCAGTACAGTGAGGACTGGCCAGCAGTAACTACATACATATATTTGAAGTGGAGCTGGTAGAGCAATATGTTCCTTAAGGCATTCATTCAAATTCAATTTACTCGTTCATTGTCATTGTCATTGTCATTGTCATTGTCATTGTCATTGTCATTGTCATTG